AGGAAACGGCGCAACCGGACAGGCAGGTTGGGTCCCTGGTCCAATCCGCCACCCTGGAGGAGGAGATGGATGCAGCATCTTGGGCTGCGCGTACACCGCAAACCACCTACCACATTCTCCCCCCTCCGCTGTCGGCCCTAGTACTGAAATGAACAGGGGCCGATCTCAGGAGTCAGAAGTCGTTGGAGATGTGTGTCCCCTCCCTTGCCGTCTGACTCTGTTGCGCCCTCCCTCACTCTCGCATTCGCCCTCTCCTGCTCCCACACGTCGCTCCCCCAATTCTTGGGGTGTCTGCATATTACCCTTCTCCTCACTTCCCTCGGCAGCAACAAATGTGGCATTTTGCATTACCGATGCCGTTCAGCCTAGCGCGAAAAAAAAAAATTACACGTTGGCTAGAATCATTCCCTCACATCTTCCGTGGCCCTTCCTTTTTCGCCACGACTGATTCTCACCCACCTCCTCGAGTGCTGCCTATCTCTGGCCACATACGGACAAACACTATCGCAATTTGTATAATGTAAGCATGCGCAATCGTAATGTACCTCTCTGGCCCTAATACCCGATTCCCAAAAGGGATGCAACATGGCAAAAATATGGGATGAGGGCGGGCACCACAAATCACAGCACTCTGCCTGTCCCAGCGTTTCCGCCCCATCTCAGTGCCTACCACACGAAAATCATGCCATTTTGCCAAATCTTGGCCTGACGAGATGGGCCACGTGGATCCAATCTACCATCTCATCTCTTTTCTGGGGAAATAGGAGATACAGAGGAATCTTGCCTCGGGTCGCTTGCGTGAGATGAAGGGGAGGTAGGGAGCCACTGAGAGATCCGAGCCGAACTGCGAAGCCCCCGGAGTTTCACACTTGGCAGAGCGCAACCCCAGAGAATGTTCTCAGGCCCGTTCCCGAAATCTAGCGCCTTAGCTCTCTGGCTAATCTGGGAGATGGGAGCCGGAACTTGTGTGCAAGGCCCCCTTCCTGCTTAGTTTTATCCCGTCCCCTTACAGCTCGTTGTCCGCATTGATCGTCTTGATCATCCTGAGATACTAGCGTCACACATGCGCACGCGCTTGCTCCCAGACGGAAAGAATTGCCGTTGATCAGTCTGTGACTGGAGGTGAGCCAGGATCCTTTCCTGCCCCCTCCCCGCTCCTCTTCCCCCCCCTTGCACTCGAGGCCGGGGTGGTCGAGGGTACTGTAGAGGAGGGGCGTGTAAAGGTGAGAGGACAGACAAGGAATAGGTAGGTGGGTGGCCCCCAGCCAATCACAAATTTCCTTACGCAAGCCCTCAGACCTGCCTGCCTGGATGCAATTCAGCGTACAGACCGCTCTCGGGGCGTTGGGCAGGGCGAGCTCAGGTAAGGCAGGCCTTTGTGGCCGATGGAGGACAAGACATGTCTCTACCGACTGCCATCCTTCCTGGCCTTGTCTACATGTCTCTCGTGTACCTGCATCTAAGTTTGGATGTCTGTGATCCCATGATGTCCTTAGTGCGTATGTATGTTGGCCACGGAAGACATGGGGAACCCCAGGAGAGAAGCCAGGCACCTCGTGAGGAGCTACAGATGCAACAGCTTCTCCAAAAAGAAGAAAGAAAGAAGGAAGGGATTGTTCACCCTAGGATACAAAGGCGCCGTCAGGGAACCTGTGGGGGCTGGATGGCGAGCGAGCTCTGGACGCCTCTTGATTCCCCCACCGTCCAAGGCAAATAATGTCTAGCCCGGCTTTATTTTGTCACACAGCTTTTCAGCTACGAGCATTCCGGTATAGTCCAGCAAATAAGTTGGTTCCACGTGCGTATTTGGGTCGCCTCCTCGCCTTTAGTGACAAGTAGAACGAAAGGCAAAAAAAATAGATAGAGTGCTCCGTAGACCGGCATGAATTTGGCTAGCCGGCACCCCAACTAACTAGGCCCCCTGTTCCATGAATTGCTGGGCGCGGGCAGTAACAAGACGTAAGAGAGGGTGTCACACTCCCGAACCCCAACGTATGTACTCCAACAATCCCGCTCGTGTCTAGCAGCCACAGCCATGTCCACAGAAACCCCCTACCGCGATGATTCAGACAATGGCCCCTCGCATCCTTCATTTCGGGTAGTCGTATGCTTTCTTTGCCCCCAACTCACGGCAATCTGGTCTGATTTCCCTGTTGTCCGTTAGCCGGACTCCCTTCCAGCCGTAGGAGCGTAGCCGTTGCAAGATCTGTGTCCTCTTCTCTCGTTCGAACGAGGCTTGCCACTCGTTCCTCGTTCGATAGCCCTGCAGAAGTGGTTCGATTTGATGACTCTTATTGTCTGTTTCCACTCTCCTGATAATGGAAATGGTGTCAAGGATAATATTGGCCAGTTTCCCATCCTTTTCTTTTCCTTCTTATGGGAATTCATGTGATTCCGCATGTTGCCATCCAAGAAGGCCTGCCGAGGCCCCATCCATACCAATGTTTGGCTTCAAGATATATCACGATATCTGTCAGGTTGTTGATATCGAAACATAAGATAACGTATGATCACACGGCAACCAATTCCACAGCGATGTGATATCAGCTAGACTATCGATTCTTGTCTCGCCACTGACACTCACTTCGAGTGGCCTCAACATCCCAGACCACGATGTGATTACCAATGCAACCCGATCAGACAATAGGGTAGAAACATGGGCCCCAAAAACGAGCTGAAACTCTACCCCAGAAATATGGAAATACGGGGTAGAGTACACGACATGCACCGGTGATCCCGAAAACGCTATATCCTATCGAAACCGCCATGGGCCCGGCCGTGTCATAACCGCCCTCGCGTAAACGTGGACGTCACAGCGTTTGACTTCGGCTAAGCAAGTTGATGGCATGGAAATGAAATCGTTAACCGAGGCACCGATCTTGAGGGTGGGCAAACCCAAGAGGCTGAGAACACGCACTACGGTAAATGACTCGCTGACTTAGCCCGATATTTCGGGCACACCGCAACTCGCAACATCTTTGTCAAGAGGAGGCTATTGGGATATGATTTCTGTCATGTTCGTTACAAAAAGAATCCGTCCACGGCGGAGTTTACCTGTCTCGTTCTTGGTTGTGGGCAGGTACATTCGCGTGGGTATTCCGCCAAGCTTCCATATCTACATGTTGAGGTGATGGGCCAAATTTTAAACGCAACCTCGGTTAACTCTCTGACTGTTCGGCAGAGATTCTAAGAGTTCAGTCAATGCTCCTAAGTTAAACAAGGCTGTTTGCCACGTCTCCTCCGAGCTCTCGGGTCTAGCATCAGTAATCCCAACTTTGCTGGACGAGATTCGTACGAGATCGTTTACCTTTACTCGCCCACCAATATCATATCATCTTTGTCCTGGCTCTATTACTCCTAATCTATACACTTGAGCTCCCGGCTGTCAGATCATCCAGATGTTCCGTGTCCTCGCCCACAGAAGACCACCGCTGATAATAGATGGTGTCCGCCTACTCCCAACATGAGTAACCACGATTGTGTTTCGTTTGTCTTTGTCTCATGGCGTTGAACCAATACTTGGATCTCCCCTAGACATGCCGGCTCCAGGATGTTGGCCGTGGAAGTGCAAGTAACTAAGCAAAGGCTTCGTGGACCGTGGGGGTTGCCAATCTGTTCCTGTTCAAAGCTTTGCGTACCAGTGATATATTTGAGCTAACACCTTCGCATATAGAAACTTCCACATTGCCTTACGAGATTCTCCCACCAAGCCGGACAGATACTGCTCAATCTATATCCTCTTCGACACTTCTACATCCTCGTCGAGCCGTGCGAAGGCACCACCTACCCTAGATCTAACCCATCCGTCGTCAGGTCTATACAATAAAACGCGTATACCTGAATGATCACAGCGTTCAGGATAGTATCGCTTATATATATATTGTGGTTGGCTTTTAGGTTAGTGAATCTTGGATTAAAGAAAGATGAACTATAATTCTAACAAACATAATGAGGCTGGTATCAAGTATCCTACGTAGGGAGAAGTGAAATTTCATTAGGGCTGCAAGAATGCGTGACCTTAGCCTCACAAAATGTAGCGTCACATTGGCCTTGTTACTATTGTGCCTCAGCCTCCACAAGACGAGAGTTGACCATGCCCTCGGCTTGTCTTGCCTCCCCTTAGCTGTGCCCGAAAGACTAGCCGTCCCGTAAGTATACGACCGGGAGCCGATGAAATACCGCCAGGCGATTACCGTGATCGCCCACTCCATTCAGCACCACAGCCGCGCTCACGCCGTGCCGTTATAGATCCCAGCAAGAAAGGAGGGTTCGCATTGCTTCCCACAAACCGGATAAGGTCTGAGAAAAGGCCTTTGAGGGGAATTCTTAAGCCGCCCCGTCATCAGTTTCCTGAACCCACCACGTTTGTTCGTCAAGGCGTCGCGCCCTCTGAAGGATCCAGGCTAGCCAAAGACGTCGTCTGGTGCACTAAGATTAGTCGAGCCATTGTTAGCGATTCATTTAACAGGGGCTAAGATAGGAACTTTACAAAATGCCATCTTTAAGAAGGGCGATAGCAACGAATTAAGATTAGCGATCACGCAATTTGTTTATTCCTGTTCATATAGCAGCACGCTATTAACGAAATATTTTGGTGTGGAGCTACTATCAAGGATATGCCGCGTAACAGAGCAACATTCTCTTAATTGACATCTCAAGTCTGAGATGTCAACTGCCTTGCGGTAAGACCGCAGGATAAGCAGGATTATAATCAAGAGAAGGTCTGCAAAATATAACATCCGTCTTATCACAAGTATGAGAATGTAAATTATAAAAGTAACGCAATGTGCAGCTATGAATAGACGAAACTTCACATTTACAAAAGACTTCGATAATTACTCAAATTTTCTCGCCATACTGTAAAAATTATGAGGGGTATTAGTGTGGGCTCCGACTTTTATGAAAGTAACACCACCTGTTAACAACTTTCTTCACTAATGATCCTTTCCTGAGAGTTTCCCGAAGAATTAAGGGTAGTTCTTCCTGTCCAGAGCGAAATCTCATTGCGTGAATGTCTGTTTTGCTTCTGTAAGGATGGAGATAGCGGGGGTAGGATGCTGTTGCGTGCCGTAGAAGACTCCAATGCGTAGGCCTCCGTGCCACTGCTCGATCTGAGCTTTGACGACAGTATAGATGATAAACTAGAGGACCAGGAATAGAAGACTTCAAAAAGTGGCGACAAGACGGGGATAGAGCACGCTATCGTGATGGTGGTCCCCTCGATTCTTCGACAGAAAAGAAGCGTTAGAAATAGGAAAACGAAGGAAAGGGCCAAGTACTCACGTCGTCCATTTGATCAACTCAGTTATAAACACTGTTGATAGTTAGCATGCATCCGGTTGAAATAGAGGAAAGTATTAGTATTGATACTGACATGGGAAAACATCATATGAAGAGTTCCTTCTGGCGGCAACTGTGACGCGATAGATAGCGACCGCAGCAGAGCTGTTCAAACCCGATCTATCAGTCTTCTTTCACTTTATCCATCTTTAAGAGTGGGATAGTACCATAACCCAATGCCGAGCGTGATAGAAAGGCCAATTCTTTGTCGGAGCTTCATTTTGAGTTGGAAAATAATAATAGCGGGATAGACAGAGAGATAAATATCGACGAAAGCGGAAAACACTAGGTGCACTCATAGTTAGGGTATATGCTACTCTGTATAGTCTAGAATCCACATACCTTGACAGTATATGCTAAAAGAGGACAATGATCTTGCCATTGAAATTGAACAGTTGCTCGATTGTTTATCGGGTGTCCACACGCTTTCTATAGGCATGCATTGGAACATCATCGCGATGCTCAAGGTGGACTGGGACAGAAGAGACCAGATGGCCATCCACAACATGAACCACTGGTTCCAGATCGAAGGACGCAAAAGTCGTACAAGGAAGGTTGCGATGGCGAGTTTAGGCAGCGAAGCGGAAAGAGCCCCTACACAGAGGGACAAGAGCTGCCAGAACTTGGCGTCTCTCCATTGCTGCGCAGTAGCATATGGAAAAGCTTCCCCATCAATGCTGTTCATGGCAATCTGGAGGAAAGCGCACGAGATTATAGAACATGTCTGGCTCGAAAAAAGATCATGTTAAAAGAAAATACTCGCGGAAGGGGATTATAAATAGAATCTGGTTCGTACAAGTCCTCCAATGCACCAGAAGTCATGGCCAAACATCTCTTTGTCCCACCTCACCCTCGCAATAATTCGAGTAATGAGAAAACTAGCGGCCAGGCCTGTAAAAGCCCAGCATACACCGACCGTGTCTAGCTTCGTACCGTCGATGTTGCTGACATTGTATAAATCGGGGTTTTCTTGCGACGTTGATGATGCCATCATGTGACTGGGGATTGAATGACGTTCGTTTTTGCTCGGGAAACCAAGAAGAGGAAGGAAACCAGTAGGGATCATTCTCTAGCAACCAGTAGATGCAGAGGTATTTATTTGTCTACCAGGTTTGCGGGGAAACTCGCTGAACCGGACCCGAGCGGCTGTGTTCCTCGTACCAATACTACCCATCCGACGTCAGCAAGTCAGCACGTCAGCTGCATTTTGGGGGCAAAGATCAAGGGGCATCATGTTTTTGCCATTCCTTCTCCTGGATCTATCACAAATTAATATGCGGTTCTTTATGGAAGTCATATTCTAGTGATCTAGGACGGAGAGTGATGTATAGGTAGCTGACGTACGTGGAAAGGACTTAGGCTTAGAAAATGAGGATGCTGATCTTTCTCCCGCGTGGAAGATAAGCACTCCGTATAGGTTGCACGAAGCTGACCATCCTAAAGCATGTATTAGGAAAAGTGAAAGAGGCGCTTTGGTTACATTCGGTTAGACTTTCTTACTTATCAATACGAATAGGGATTTTATTTGACGCCACCAGTATCCCACCGCCACGTGTCTTAAGAGAGGCCAATGGCAAAAATACTACATACCGCTAGTAGAATTGAAATCAATATTTTCACATTTCGATCCCCTAGATGGGTACCCGTAAGGTCTCTAATAACGAGTTTGAGTAAAGAGAACAACAACTTATGCCGAGCGAAGATCACAAACACGTGTCGTGGAAGATGAATATGATGGGGATGAATTAGATAGAACTGTGGCTACAGCTCAATAGCCGGAGCGAATTAATTACTGCTTATAGTTACATGTGAATCGTTATATAATATATTACGGTCTTAACGGATTATCTTTCTCAGCCGCATGTCTCTGCGTCCTAGCCAACCAAACCGAGGGGGAAAACGAGCCGCCTAAAAGCCAGCATCACCGAATGTAAACTGGGCCTAGATGCTGAAAGAAAAAGACTCTAGATTCCTATTTCTGCTATCTCGTAGCTTATGAATAAAAATCCCATTGGATCAAAAAATATCATTGCGATCCTAAGTATAATATTCGTCTTGGGTAAGGAATTTTGGAAGGCTTAAGAGCTAAACTATCATTAGAGAAGACATAGGTTTGCAATGGTAAGTTGGCACCTAAGCTACAGGAATACAGCACCTACCCATCTTTACTTCTCTAAGCCATGACCATATTTATTCCGACAATGTAGTGCAGGCCCGTCCCACACCCAACAGGCAGGGCGCGAGTAGAATCAACGCCAAGGTTTGGCTATGGTGGAGATAGGCCTGTGGACTTTCTTGAGGTACATATTCCTATGAGATGCATGCAACATAGTCAAAAACTTGCCTAATTTCTCGCCTAGTTATCGCCAACATATGCACAAGTAACTAAACGGCTATACCTCTCTCGAAGATCGTGGCCAAAAAGGAGTGTGGCAGTATGGGACCAGCTCTGTTCATTGCAGCATTTGAACACCACCATCATCAGAATATCGTTGACAGATTTGGCAATGCCCCCCCTTTCAAGAATTTCTTGGTGTTTGCTCCTGTCCAAATGCTGAACTACCTCAACTCTGGTGCCAGCTCTTCTCTTATCAATCATACCATCACTAGTCGATTTGACCAACTACAAATCAATTATTCGAGTTGTCGGGACTTCAGCTGGTGGTTAGAATAGAGCTGCAATCTTCCAACAGGGTGGACTCTCCAGGCCTCCTTGTTGATCGAGCTTCTATTTCTTATTTGTTTAATTGCTGTTCAAAGCGCATATCCTCCAAAGCCTCCTGTTTGCTCTGGCTAAGCTCTCGGTATTGCTGGGAGATTTTGGGCAGAATGAATGAAAACATCGTAAGTAATGAGCCTACTATCCGCGCAATATACCATGATAATTTTACCATGTTGTGGTACAGTAGAAAAAGAACAATCGGTTCAAGTTCCATTTCTCGAAAATCGTATACTTTCAATGTATTATAGTGGGTATATATCACAGTCGCAGCCAGGAAATATATCAAGAAGCATAATAAAAATGAAAATTAGTATTATTATTAACTACTTTTCTTTCCGCATAACTGTAGCCTTGGGCTAGCAAAGGCTTTTTTAAGCTTCTGTATTCATTGTCTTTCTCTTACGTATTATTATTCACTACAGCTCTTTAATCAGCCTCCCCATCTCCTCTACCTCCTCGGCCCAGGGGTCATCAACTCCCCTGGGCCTCCACGGGACCCAGGCAGACGCCTGGGCGTGGAGCTGAGGCTGCTGAGGCTGCTGGGAGTGGAACTGAGGATGCTGAGGCTGCTGGGAGTGGAACTGAGGCTGCTGGGAGTGGAACTGAGGCTGCTGAGGCTGTTGGGCGTGGAGCTGAGGCTGCTGGACGTTGGCCCGGGGAGCCCAGCACTCCCGGGCCCAGTGGCCCTTCTTGTGACACTATATTTGATGAGAAAATTAGTTGCTAAGAGCTTGGTGAGTAAGTAGGTACATACGTTTGTGCAGCGCATTTCGCGCCGTCATCTGGCCGATGGTACCGACCAGGTTCCGGTACGAGTTCTATTGCCAAGGTTAGTTTTCTCTTTAAGGTAGCGTTGGCAAGTTTGAACTGAAAATTAAGGTAAGAACATACCGTACCGCGGCCGTGGCCGCCACGGCCACCTCGAGCACAGTAATTGTCCATCTATAATCTAGTCAGAATATAGGTGCTTGGTAACAATGAGTCTTGATCCTACTTACCGTATAGAGAGATTATTATGAGCCTACCTGGGCGGGTATAAAGAGATTATTGTGAGCCCGCCTAGGCGGGTGTAGAGAGATTGTTGTGAGCCCGCCTGGGTGGGTGTAGAGAGATTGTCGTGGGCTTCCAAGGAAGAAAGAGGAAATCCCAAAAACTCTGGGCCATCAGTCCTTACATACCTCAGTAGGACTTGCGCTTCCAGGAAGGTACGTACCAAGGCCTGCCTCAGGTATCTTTCTGGTATCTTCTGGTTGGGTTAGTACGATCATGGCGTACCTGCCCAGTTTGCCAGTCTAGGAGGTATGTACGACCGCCAGGTACCAGTGAGCCTGTGGGTCTGCCAAGTTTGCAATCGGCCCATGATCTACGAACTACCAGAATCTACCAATCATCCTATCGCAGCCTTGTTTACACTCCAGAATTAGAAGGTACTAGATTAGTTTTGCAGTGTCGATTGATAGTACGACCTTGACTATGTCCCTTCGCATCAACTCACTTTTCATTACAAGCACAGAGATAGCCTCATATTACTTAGGTAAGTACCTAGTTGGGCATTCCCTCGTTTTTGTTTCGTCTGGCTACAAGTTATTCATATAGAAGTTGCCCTTTGATGATACTGCAGTAGTCGGCGATTGCCCTGTGTGTCGTCATGATTCTACAGGGGTAATGCTGCCTCTGGACGGACTTCGGTTGACTCTGGTTTCAACATGCTAACGAGATCGTGGCCTTGGTGAAGAAGGTGTACTCAGCAACCGATAAACCGATCTAGCCTCGAGAGGGCGGCCAGGGACAGGTTCCAGTCGCAGCCTGGGAGGGGATGATGCGGGTCACCCTAATACATTGGTCCCTGTGCTATTTCTGCCAGTTAACTGCTTCTTTTTTCATCAAATACCATGAAGTTTTGCTTATGAGATGGCACATCCAAGATCACGAAGGAGCAGCGACTTGTAAACTCCTACACATTACTGACACGTGGAGCAATGGGTTCTGATACGAGAATCTACCCAGCTCGTTATTCCCTTGCTAATGTTTGACCAAAAACAAAGTGTATTAAATCATATAAATCCAGAAAAGCATCGAAGTGCCTAGCAACCCCTTGTTCAAGGACACATAATTTCATTGTCTCAAGGGAGGGTCATCCGTGTGCAGTCGCAGGTCCGCCACCCTTCAGTCCACCAAACAACAACTACCATTCTGTGCCATGATAGAACAAAACGAGCATTTTTAAATGAATTTTTCATACATATTACTGGACCACGAGCACTCAAGATCAGCTTAGAGCCTCTTCTTGAATACCAATGAAGATCAACTTAACATTGCTGAGCAATCGAGACATGGTAAGCGTAGAGAAAAAAGATTTGTTCAAAACAGGCTAATGAGGAATACTCATTACTAACGACTTGCAGCCTGGGCTCGAGAACTTCCTAAACTAACGGCCCAAACTTCGCTGGTCCATCCTTCGCGCATATCAGCGGCCATAAGAGCCAGCATGGAATAGCCATTGGCAACTGCCAGACTGCCGTGGAATTTGTTGAAAACCTGAGTTTATATTAGCTGAGTTCTCATCAATGGGATCTATCAGCGAAAAGGGGTGGGTCGGTTGTTAGTTCGACCCGGTAGATCACTTTAGGTCGATCGCGGATCACAGCCTCTGGTTTCCTTCTACAACATCCAACATCTTCCAGATGTATACACCTATCCACATAAGAAAGATGTGTGACACAACAACTGTCTCACCTGATGTTGTGTTATGTTCTGATTCATTACTTTTAGCCAAATCCCTAAGTGGTGGTGATACGACAAAACGTCACATTTGCGCAGGGTACTAGCTAGTCTGTCCATCTTCTAAGGCCGAACGCGAGTGAACTTTTTGTGTTAGGTATTGTTTTCCTTTTGCTTTTGGGGGAGTGGTGGATGGGGATTGCTGTCCTATGGACCCAAAGGTCACTTCCGTCAGCCGCATAATCCTGGTCGCAATATCGAAATGCGATTGGATAAGACAATGGTCGTCTTACCTCGTCTTCCCCTCACCTGAGATTTAGGAATTGAATATCCCTCATTCATGAACAAAGTCACATCGTTTGTAGCCCGATACTATTGGCAGACATGGAGGCTCTAACCCCTGGTGACATTGGGCTGATCCAACTCTGGCCTAAATCCGATGTCGCCGTCCAAACCGTCCTTGAGTATACCCACCCCTGCTTTCAGATATTCAAGTAAATAATCAAATTCTAAATTCATGACTTACCCTTCCAACAGTATAGTCGCCATCCACGGACTTGGTGGCCACCCAATAAAGACATGGAGAAGCGGTAAAAGTGTCTGGCTCCGTGACTTTCTTCCCTCCACCATCCCGGAAGTTCGCATATTTACCTTCGGCTACTCATCCAAGACCACCTTTGCCAAGACGGTTTCTGAGATCGGTGATTTTGCAAGAGAGCTACTAGAGCGTCTTCTCGCTGCACGAAGAAACCTCCCTGATCACGTAAGCTATCGAACACAGACCCTTAGTATATCAACGAGTTTAGAGAATTAAGGATATCATAGCGACCGCTCATATTTATATGCCATAGCTTAGGAGGAATTATATTTAAAAAGGTGAGGAAACTATACAGATCTCTCTTTAATTTACTAATACGTGTTTGATCCCCACCAGAGCTTATGCCTAGCTCATGATCATGAGTCAAGATACGGGAGCCTCCTGGCTCAAATCAAGTCGGTCATATTTCTCGGAACCCCCCATCGAGGATCAGATATAGCCACTTGGGCGAAGATGCTGGGGAAAATTTCCAACCTCTTCGTTTCAGATTCTGTCCGCATTGGCTTGATTAAAGATCTGGAACCCCAGTCGCAAGTTCTTAAAGATATTGAGGACCAGTTTCTCCAAAGAACCATCGGTCTCCGAATTTTCACATTCTACGAAAGAGTCAAGACGAAGCACATCAAGTCTCTAGTATGATCTATCCTACTTTAAATATGCGAAGATTTTTGGATTTCTCATTTATTATTTAGGTTGTTGAGTCGGATTCTGCAATCCTCCGGCTTCCAAACGAAGTTCCGCTGCCTTTAGAGGCTGACCATCGCAACATATGCAAGTTTCTAACATCAAGTGATCCTGGGTACACGCTGGTCCTAAGCTGCCTGGAAGAGCTGATTGATCAGTGTACATCCGAACAATCCGCCCCACAGAGTAAGTCGAGTGATTCTGAATTATTGATGAAAAAAGACTATAGTACCGAATCTATGGTAGATGTTCTATGATCAGCGATATGTTCTCAACTGCTAACATGCGGGATAACATAGACTCTTCGGCAGTGAATTATACGAAATTTCTCCAAGATCTGAATCCGAAAAATGGAGCTTTTGACCCCGTGATGAAGTACCATGCTACCCCTGATGCCGCCCCAGGGACTTGCGATTGGATCAAGCAGGATACTACATTCCTCAACTGGTTTGATGCCCGCACAAGCTCTTGGCTTTGGGTTCATGGTTCCCCGGGCTCAGGCAAATCGGTTCTAGTCAAATATGTCATCGATCTCTTGCGGCAACGACCGGAAAAAGAACAAGCCACCGATGTTTCAGATGTTGTTTCCTACATATTCTGTGATGGGAAAGTAACTCTAGACGAGACTGCTTCTTGTCTTGTTCTGAGATCTATCCTGTCCCAGATTCTCCAGGCACAAGCGGGTCTGATCAGACATCTGGAAAACAAGATGAACAACGTTGATATCGTCAAACTAACGAGTCAGGAGTTGGCATCAAATATATCCGATATTATGCTATGGGCAAGCAACACTCGGTTTTGGTTGATTGTTGATGCCGTCGACGAGCTTCCCGTAACCGCAGCAGAGGATTTATTGGATGCCATCCGGAGCATATCTGTCAATGACATTAGCAGACGCATCCATATTCTCATTTCCAACCGATCGGGTATTGCCTCACAGTTTTCCCAAATAGCGAATCCTTTATGTCTCGACTCAGAAAAGATGCATGAGATTGTGCAACATTACATTGAACAAAAAGTCACGCAGTTCGGGCGAGAGAATTCTATCCCTCCACACGTGTTGCTTGAAATACAAGCAGGTATAACAGCCCGTTCTAACACCAACTTTCTCATTGCCTCTCTGAGTTGGACCGCCTTCTATGAGGGGATATCACTTTGGAGCCCATCTACGGTGAAGGCCAGGCTACGGGAACTCGATGAACTCAAATTCAACCTTGGACACCTATATGCGAGTCTTCTCGCCAACGTGCCCGGGGATTTCCGGCCAGTTTTGAAGAAAATATTCATGCTCCTCACTGTTGCTCGAAGGCCGCTATCTGTCAACGACATTCATTTTGCCGTCTCCATTAGTGAAGAGCATCGGTCTTACGAACACGTCCAGAGCAACTTTGGTTTCAATTTCGAGCGGGTTCTACGAAGATTCTGCACGCCTTTCTTATCGGTTGATTCAGTAGGCTCTGTGCAGTTCCGACATCATTCTTTCCGAGAGTTTTTGACTCAGAAGAGGGTGGATACTATGGATGAAGAGCTTAGAAGGCAATTTCGCTCCTCTATTCTGGGCTGCGAGTATTTTGCGAATTGGGTCTGCTTTAAAGTTCTCACCTTCACGGACTGGAAGGATTACGACGGCGAGATCGTAGATTTCAAGCAAGACCAGAACAGCGCAACTGTTCGTCAGGACGGCCAATTTCTCTCCGCCGATATACCAGAACTGCCTCTGTTGCTATACGCCATTGAAAATTTTAACAGCCATTTAGAAAAGGTCCAGGATGAGCCTGAAGTCATTCAATCCGCGGCCAGTTTCTTTATGGAAGAGAAAGTCAAGGTTTTCTACCAACTCTATTCTAAACTCGAACTTGAATTTCGAAATCATGGACTTCGTCTACAGCCGGACCTGGAGATCAACTGCCCCCCAATGCATCTTCTGATCCAGTTAGGAGATTTCCTGGAAATATTCAAGGCCATCAAGGGGGATTTGAACAAGCTCGATGAATCAGGGTACTCTCCGCTGGCCTGGGCGGTCAGTAAAAATCGATCTAAGCTCATGAAGTTCCTACTTCTCAATCACAGAGTCGATCCAAACATTGGCCTCGCCAATAGGTACAAGCCACTCCACCTCTCAATACAAGATACGAAGGCGTTTCTACTACTCATTTCATCCCCAAAGGTAGACATTAATTGCAAAGGGATTAGAGGCCGTACAGTGCTGCACAATATCATTTCTCGCGGCCAAGCACTTGCGCATTTACTCCCTCCCCTGCTGGAAAGGGAAGACCTTGATACAAATGCTCTGGATGGCGATGGGGTATCACCTTTGATATTTGCCCTTAGCAGAGGAGATGGGTATCAGGCTGTAATGCAGCTTCTGAAGCGTAGCCTGGGGGAGAAACTTGATGTCTCTGCGACTGACGGCAACGGAACAAACGCTCTAGCCCTCGCCAGTCTTCAGGGCTGGACGGAGGTGCGCAAAATTTAGTCTCCAGAGACCGGTCACAAATGTTCACTCTTGGCCAAGATGGAATGAACATGCTTACTAGAGCGGCGTACTTTGGAAATCAGCAAGAGTTGAAGGAATTGCTTTCGTCTGTACCCCGGGCCGATGTTGTACGCCTCAGCAACGAAGGCCGGTTCAACTTAATGAACCTTTGTGCACAACAAGACTGGGCTAGTATGCTTGAGCACCTTCGTGTCAATTTTGGACTAGAAAGCCAGGAGCAAGACACCAGAGGACGGACGGTCCTGCACTGGGCGGCGTTCTCAGGCTGGAGCTACGCTGAGTCGAACCTTTCCAGAGTTCAACGGGGTTTAATCAACGTTCAAGATTTTGACGGCAGTACTCCCTTGCATCTAGCAGCTGACCATCGAAACTTACCGGCTGTTGAATTCTTACTCAAGGAGGGAGCCAACCTACTCATCCGCGACAAATATGGGCGGACTCCAGTGCACATTGCTGCCAGCTCGGGTGCAAAAGCAATCCTAGAGCTGATGCTACTCAGTCCAATCCGCGAGTTTGGAAGAGACAAGCAAGGGCTCTCACTTCTTCATTATATTGCAACTTGGGAATGGCCTCCAGTTTTAGCCAAATTCATCACGCAGAAACGGCCTATTATCGACGTCCGGGACAAAGATCGACGGACACCTCTACACTATGCAGCAATTTACGGAAACACGGTGGTCGGCAGGGCGCTGATGGACGCGGGTGCCAATATTGAACTGAGAGATTGCATTGGCTTCACTCCGGTGTTTCATGCAATCCGACAGGGCCATGTTGCATTCGCATCGCTGTTGCACTCCCGGTGCGCAGACCTATACAGACGTGATTTCTTCAACAGGGACACGGCAGATATAATTGGTTTGGATTCCAGCCCAGAGATGATTGAGCTTCTCCGGAAATTGAAAGCGCCCTTCCCAACACAGAGGAGGAGACCATACTCTCCCCCAAGAGGGAGTGAACCTCCTCCAAAATCGACTGCTCCTGGGACGATTTGGGCCATATCCCATCCCCGGCGAGATGAGGAAGTAAAAGAGCCTTTGTGCCCTTCCTGCCAGGAAAACGATCGTCAGATCAACAAAAGGTCAAGTAAGAATCTCCAGCTTACTGTGCTGGCGCGCCATCTAGACTGTATCGGATCATATTTCCTGGCGTATACGGATGAGCCTTTCCAACTTCACCAGGGAAGGTCGGCGTTTCACGTTGCGGCCTACCTTGGCGACATCTCGATTATGCGAGAGCTTTGCGCTTTTGATACTTCTGGCTATTTCGATGCGAACACCGCGGAAGGGACACCCGCTCTGATAGCGGCCTCGTCTGGACATTTTGACATTGCACATGAACTGATTCTGCGTGGAGCAGATCCCCTCCAAGTGACAGGAAATGGCTTCAACATGCTCCACCTCGCAGCACAGGGAGGCCATCTTCCACTAGTTGAGACACTCATCTCTAAAGGGCTCAGTGTGGACACAAAAGCCAAAAACGAAGACGGTCTTGTTGCATTGCATATGGCCGTTGACCAAAAGCAAAAGGAGGTGGTGAAGTTCCTGCTTAGATTTTACAAACCCCGATATCGATTGGACCCTGATCAAAGCGTTGCACTCTTCTTACTTGGAAGTGGACATTTCCACATTGATCCTGAACAGAAGTTAATCAAGGTCAACAAGTATGAACACCTGGAGGATATGCCAAGGTTCTTCTGGTCAGAAGGAGAGATTGCGAGTGATTTAGCACGTTCATTTTCATTGCTATCCAATGGAGGCTCGCCATATCCTATCTTGGCTTATGTCATTCAGCGTCGCCGCCGTCTTTTCCAGTTCGACAAGTCGGACCTTCTCTCATTTCTGTTGAAAATGAGCAGTGGCCGGTGTGACAGTATGGTAATTCACTGCGTGTCTGCTGGTCTTATGCCCCATGACACGACCAGCTTGCTTCAAGTGCCGATGGAGGACCACACGCTCTGGCATCTTGTCAATCACGGTGTCAATCCTCTCATCGTGTTCTCGGATGGTTCCAACATACTACATCATATGTTGCGCCTCAAGTATCTTTGGACGACATCAAAGGGCTCTATGAATAAGTCAATCGAAACGCTAGTGTCTCTGGGTGTAGACATCAACGCTCAAAACTCGGAGGGAGAAACACCGTTACTAGTACTTCTATCAACCCCAATGGTAGACAGTGAGCAATTCTTTAGTACTGTGGAGGGCGTAATAAAGAATGGAGCAGATCCACGGATTCCAAGAAAGGATGGCATCACGGCTTTGGACTTGGCGAGGAAAGGCTTTCCATGGTCATATCCCGTTTACAGACTGATTCAAAACGCACACAAGGCCTTAGATTTAAAGTAATCATATATAGAGGAGTGATGAATGAACTAAGGACTATAAGCTATGCTAATTGAAATCGAAATGGTGGACGGACTGCCTTAATATAATAGGAACACCGGCAGGATGACAGCTCCGTGGGGCATCAACAAAATATTCATATAAGCCTCAAGGTCTCTGGTGCTTCAATACGGAAATTTTTAGTAATTTGCTTTTACATGAAGATTTTAAGGAAATGCATATTTTACACATAGTCTGCATTCTTGCTCTGGAGAAAAAACTTGGAATGATTTCATTAGGCAAGTGGCTAGGATGTTTATATGTGTCCGCCTTACGGCTGCCTCGTATACTATTTATATGACAGACTACATGTTTCGAATGCTTAAGACGCGTCATAATTAGTGGCAAAAGTGTGGATGCGGAGCAAACAACCTGTCAGCATTAGAATAAGACCACACCGAATCTCCTTCAAATGTTCCCCACTTCGTCACTCTTGAATCCTCCCATAATAAACGTGTTTTCACTTTGATTAGGTGTAGATTGATTGACGACTGCATTTCCCATGGACGAACTTTTACTTGAACCTCAGGCTGAAAGTCAGCCTGGATCTGAGGAACTCGGTCAGAAGGCGATGCAAACGACGAAGATACCTGCAGATATCGAAGACGGAGCCGAGATCACAAAGAGACGAATTACAAATGACTATTCGTCGTATAAGGCGCTAAGCACCGAGCCTGGTAAAGAAAATATCAGGCTGTTACACGTACTGCCTCAAAAGAACGTTGACGATGACGATGAGGAGCTTGTCTGCGTGTTGAGCGACCCAATCGCGAAAACTGGCCGGATTGTGTACATCGCTTTATCGTACTGTTGGGGAGACATGGCGCGGCAGCGTAGCATCAGTCTCGTCCACCACAGTTTCGACCAACCGGATGATAGCATCGTTCAAGAGCCTGAAGACGGAGTTCAAGCCGTTGCTGTCAATGTGACCACTAAGAAAACATTTAATGTAACAGACTCGCTCTATCAGGCTCTAAAGAGCCTCCGAAAGTCGAAAGCTCAAATCGAGGAAAGTTTTCCTTTGTTCGACTACCAGCCTCTGTGGGTAGATGCTCTATGTATCAACCAAAGTGATATTGAAGAAAGAAACAGCCAGGTTGGGATAATGAGGAGTATATACTCCCAGGCTATGCTCGTATTCATCTGGATGGGTGAGGATGAAGATGTCGTGCGCGGGTTACACATCATTGTGGGCCTCGTAAGGGTGATGTCTGAGAGGTATGGAGATGAATTCGATATCTTGAACCCAACAGACGAACAACTTGGGACATTTCTGTCTTCAGGTGGATACAACTTTGGAGACGAGAACTTGGGTCCGGGGGGCTGTCTCCAAGTCTTGGGACGCTTTTTCAATAACCCGTACTTTCGACGGATCTGGGTTCTTCAGGAAGCCTCATGCAACCCCCAGTTGACCTTCATCCATATTACCAACGCACAGGTTCCTTTGAGCTATATACTTGTTGCTGAGCGATGCTACAAGTTGTGGGAAACTCTGTATTTTACTGGCAAACCCACTCTTCCAGTCGCCTGGGGGTCAATGCTGCGAAAGCAATTACTTCACATCAGAGATTTCCAACAGAAGAACGGTGAGAAGAGGTCACACAATAAGAAAACATGCAGCTTGCTTGGAAGGCTATATAATCTCTTCGAGCATACCTATACGGATTTTGAAGCTACAGACCCACGCGACAAGCTCTATGCGCTACTCGACTTTGCTCTAGAGACTCAAAATGGTATGGGATCAAGGCAAGATCTAGCGCCAGATTACAACAAGACTGTAACCGAGGTCTTTTCCAACTTCACGCTATGGTGCATTCGATACTCTGGGAATCTTGACGTGCTCGGCTTACTTGCCAGTGGGCCGCGCCGAGTCCTACCAGAGGATTTTGCCAGGCTTGGGGCGCATGATCCGCCTACCCAGTCATATCTTGATGTCAGATCCCATCCTTCATGGGCTGTTTGGCCTACTGGTGGAGGAATCTGGACTCAAGGCAGCCTGGCGAAAGAACCCAACTTTGGCCTAGCTACACAGAGAGAAGTCCGTCTCTTCCAGCTCGCTACTCATCCAATGATTAGACTTCCTGAAGATCTAACTCACCGAATTATAAGCCTCGGTGGCCTACAGATCGGAAAGGTCAAGTCCGTTTTCCAAATGCCTCTTAAATGTATGCAAACTACTGTTGAGAACTCGTTTCTATCTAAAAAGTGGGGGACAGAGGCGTTAGAAAAAGACATGGAGACAGATCGAGCGATGCCCGTCATGATTTTGACTCATCCCTATAATCGTGGCTTATTTAGAGGCGGCATCCCTCTTCTCTGGTCAATGATTAGTAAAAGCGAGTCACCGCCTATCATCATCGACGACGAAGAGGGCGGAACACTCAGCTCCCAAGAATGGTTAGGCAGGCAAGGGGGTAGATACAACGGAAAAGATGAACTGATGTTTCGAGACTTTCTAGAGACTCTTCTCCTGAGCCCAGTCTACCGCGGTGAGAACTCCCTGGACCATCAAGATGATACAGTACCCGATGGTCCCTGGAGTGACAAAGACATGGCGACGAGCATAGCAATGTGCTGGGGAGAGAACGATCCTCGTTTTATGTTTCCTCCGCCAAGGATTGCGGGGATCTTGAAAGGCGAACTATTTGAAAGGCCCGTCCCACAACCAAAATTGTTTCCACTGCAATGCCGTGGCGTGGGTAAATGCTTTTTTATCACTGAGGATGAACGGATGGGTATGTGCTCACCGGACGTACGTTCCGGTGACATTATTATTGCGCTTTTCGGATCTCGTCTTCCTTTTGTGGTACGCCCAGTGAGGCAAGAAACCAAATTTGAAGGGGACGATTGGTCCTTCAAAGGTTCCGAAGAACTAAAAGATCATCTGTACAGATTCATGGGGGAATGTTATCTACATGAGCAAATGACGAGCTCATTCTTCAGGGATCAAGGCATGGAATCAAGGCAGATGGAAGTGTTTAATTTATGTTAGCCACTGAGAGAACCCTTTCTCAAGTTATCACTTATATGCGACCCCACTGAAAGACTTTCCAAAACATATGTGCGACTCCACTGGGGAGGAGGTTGTTCGATTTCTCCGGCCCTCTTCCCTTTCTATACTTCGACCACCACTCCACCAGGTAAAGGGTGAACCTAGATCAAGGATGCAACGCACTCTCGCTCTTTCGACTGGGCCTGCTGCCAGATTATCCACGATTTTCTCCTGTAACTCGGTGGGAAGTCCTCGAAGTGTTGTCACAGGGCTGACACTAAGCGTGGCTTGCAGAAGCTGATCGATGGCTGCATCCGAAGGAGGGAGGGTGCCGTCAAACAAACGCTCGGCCTTCGTACACCTTTCATTCTCGGAATTAATCCGATACATGCTGACTTCTCTTACAGACAATACCAGGTAAGTCCGATCCCCGACCACAGACATGCCATGTTCTGCTTTTGAAACACAGTATTGTTGGAAGTCTTCTCGGATGAGATGAACTGCATGGCAAGGGTGCTGTGATGAAACAACAGATGCCCCGCCTACTCGTACAATATGTCCACTAAATGGCTCCCACTCGGGAAGATTATTTAACCAGACCAAGAAGCCGCCGGTTCCTTGGCGTTGTGTCGTAATCTCCTTCACTTCAAAATCTAGCGTCACAATCTTGATGATAGCATAAGCGAGCCTTCTGAACGTTGAGTGGTTGAATCGGCCAGAAAGAACGTGTCTCCATTGGTATGCAAAGTCTGTCAACATCTTCTGAACCAGAGCCTTATGTCGCTCTAAGCGATCTTTGCAGATCCCATTACGCCGCATTATGCATTGCGAGGCTCGAGGGGGTCGAAAGGCTTGGATAGAAGTTGGTGGCTTGTAAGGCTCGAAATCACTGACGGAAATAGGACGCTGACGGAGAAGGCTGAGAGATACTGAAGTGTAGTGGTCTGTTTTATGAAGCCGGAGGAGATCGTTATCGAGATCAAAAATCCATACGGTATTGATCAGTTTACCTCGTGTATCAAGAAATGGGTCGACAATATCCTCTTGCTGACGCCATTCCCCAGCAAATAACGAGTATATTGTGTCCAACGTGGATTCTATTAGCCTATTAGAATTGTTTATCAAGTGTGACTATCAGTTATGGACTGACCTGCCACTGTGCCTTGGAGGGCGTTTGAATATCGCTCCAGCATCTTGTCATCTTCGACGCTACGTTTGGCACAGCGATAGACAGTTCCTAAGTACGTTAGCGTAGCTGTACTTATAATGAGACGGAATGATGTACCCTGCAAGCTGATGTAAATATGTGCAGCCATGGCGAAGTTCGAATTGCTCTAGGAATTTATGAGTAGAGAAATAGAAAAAGGCTGGTGCCAGACAAAATAAACAATGAATGCCACAACACAAGACCCACAGAGACGGAAAAGGGTTATGCCGAGCAGTTTAATGAATGAAGAAATTAATCACGGCACAAACCAAACAATGTCGCAGCCTTCTCTCTGGCTAAGTAGAAGTAGTAGTCTAACAACGGCTGCTCTACATCAGCCACTATCACACATGCGAGCCCATTAATGGATAACTTGACAATCCTGCGCCTGTTTTTCATCTGTGTTCTAAACCCAGTGCTACGAAGGCTGCTGTTTTTACAGTATTCTTAAGCAAGAATCTCACAGTCATCGTGATACAAGACGAAACAAGCTAGGATAGGCAAAATTTCCAAGCCTTTCTAGCTCATCTTCTCCCTTTTCTCGCTATGGGGTGGTCTATCGAATCTCAAGAACGTCTAGCTCTGTTCCTTCAGCAGCCACTGCCTCCCCAACTCCGCCGTACATCAGACCGTGGACAAAACAAGGGCCAACATAAGAGTAAGCCTCATCAGCTTCGGATGGAATCCTGCGCAGGAGAACTGGAAATGAGCATCCGCTCAAGACGTAGAGCTGATCCCCAGGCAACATATTCAAGGGGCCGAGACCTACGCTTCCATCCGAGGTACGAAAGACGCGACCGCAGAACAGCCCTCGACTAACGTTTACATATATCGACATTTGAGCACTTGAATCCACTTCCATGTAATGCGGGTCAAGGTAGTGCCTGCTCGTTATGGCCTCTGGAACTTCATGGCCCCAGAATATCTGGCTCCGACAAAAGTTGGCCAAGGTCCCATGCTGAGGATCGTAACCCCATCGTTGGCATAGTTTAAGAGTCCTTGTCATGGTTTCGACCGTCGGACCCTTTCCAGGAGCTCTCGAAAGGATATTTAGAAAGGCTCGACAAAGCTGGTCTACGCGACCGTAATCTTTGTATAGCTTCTCAGTTCCCGCGATTATCTGGTTTGTGCTTTCCACTTTATCCAGCGTGATTGTCCTTAGAATGAGCTGCAGAGGCGGTGCGGCGCTCTTCGCTTGATCAATCGCATCGGTGAAGCCCTCCATTGTAGAAACCAGGTAATTCTGGAATCCATTCACGCCTTGGTGTTGTGCCTCTGTGGGATCGTCTCCTACCCAGTCAACAGCGCCATGCATGACTCCAACTTCGTGCAACGTAAACTCGTCGTCCACCCCCATCACTCCTTCCGGGAGACCTTTGTTGGCCTCATAATTTCCAAAGTTGTCGTTGAGCTGCTTCGCTACAGCAGCGTCCGGCCGAGTCAGGGTATCCCAGTTAGGGACCCATGAAGGAAGCTTGAAGTCTGAATGATCACCGTAACAAAGACCGGAAAACTTTAAACAAGGGTCCAACCCTCCAGATCTCATCCAGGAAGCTGCCGCTGCGCCATATGTTTGCCGAACATCCTTGGTATAGTCGGGCTCTATCGGGCTGATATTGAGGGCGTAGAAAGCGAATAGCTTGTCCCGGGGGTCTGTGGCCAACTGGCCCGTAGTTTCGGAGAATAGTACCAGGTTTTGTTGAGAATCATCAAGCGGCTGCTGTTGCAAAACCTTGCAGTGGTTGACCAGTCGCAAGGGAAGGTAAGCTTGCGAACCCATCTCAAGGTGCACCGCGAGATTCGAGCGTGGATCAGGGATTTCAACCATACCACGACTTACTGCCATCTGGAGGGCAACCATTCCCTTTAGAGTCTCCCATCCGAGGGTCTTATCTCCGACCTGAAACCATAGGGTGCGTGGGAGAACCATTTCCTGGATAGTCCAGCTGCGCTTCCAGTAAGGCAGCTCTAGAAATCTATCCAGGCTGTTCCAGTATTTATTGTAGGCCGGAGGTGAGGGATCTGTCACCTCCCAATACTGTGGATATCGGCGCATCAACTCGGAGGCTTCTACCGTCCTCATGTTTCCTCCTATGTCGTTGAGCAACTGTAGCCCCAATTCCACTTCATCGCTGCTTGGTCCGAGCCAAGCTATTACCTCCTTTGCCTCCTTGTATATCCTGTCCATCATTCTCACTTGAGAAGTCTTCTCCAGGTCATCTGTCTGGTTGATACATATGGCATCGGCCCATACTAAACAGCTCCCATCTGGGAGCCTCGGCAGTGAAGCCTGCATGAACTGCAAGGCTGATGCGAGATTCGCAGTCGCATTGAAAACAGCATCTTCGATGATGATTTCTTTGGTGATTGATGGATCTCCCCAGACATAAGAGAGAGCTGTGTACCCCACTCTCTGGCTGTCCAACGAGGCATGAAGGATTTTGCACTGCACCCGCCCACCCTCATCCAACGTTGGCAGGATGTCTATGAGGCGGATTTCGCTTGTATTTGGATTGAGACTTTGGTATATTGAGCTGGAGAACGTTCGAGGCATGGCGATGGTACAGCTCTCTTCGTGATATATTGAGAAAAATGCGATGTTTTTCTATGTAGGTAGTTGAGCGAAAATAATATTACCTTGCTTCCAGGGGCGGCATTATTTCGTAAGCTGACTAGAGGGTACCCACGGTAGTCTATATTACGATCTATGGAATTTACTGTTATCAAGCATTATATATCATTACTTAGAATAATAAGTAAATAAAGTGACATTATTGTTTGTTTATTTATTTTAAAGAAGAAGAAGAAGAAGAAAAAGAAATCATTTGGTTCAAATCATAAGAACTCAAGTGTATTATTCATACCGCCCTCCAAGTCACCCTAGTACTCTAAGTTCTTCTATTCCAACGAATTCCTACTCTATCAGCTACGGCTTTGGACAACTTCATCGCGAATCACTGACCTCTCTGTCCCGACGAGCGCGCGGTTACAGACAGCTCAGTCAGCCAGACCTGACGGTTGTGTCCACATGACCAGAAACTCGAGGACAGCTAGTTAGTCCGCGCCCGACGAACTTTTCTGCCCGGATTGAACTCAACGGACAACCCTATCGTCAGCCCATGAAGAGCCTGTTCGTGCGAGTCGAAAACCACGGACAGCAATATCGTCTTCCCTGACGAACCCGTCCATCTGAGCAGGGCAACTAAGACGAGCCAGTCGTCAATCAAATAGCTGCTTCCAACTGCAGCTAGAAATTGTCCCTGTCGGCATGTTCAGAGGAGCCCTCAAATATAGCCTGATTTAGCAAAACCATTACAAATGAAAACACATCGATCCCCTCAAATTTGCTCGTTTAATGACTTCAACAGCTGAGACCGACCCCTGTTGGTTGGCCTTTTGAAGGGGTGCTCAACAACACACCAGAATCCAGTGAGAACATTGACCTTGAAGCTTGCTTTTCTAGAACCTCAATTGGTAGTGGATGGCAAGCACTCTGGAAAAGACACATGTTATCACAGACTCCTGTCTCCATTGGCAGTCCTTGGCTCTGGGTGTCAGCGCCACGGGATCGAAACCAACGGCAGTACGGTTATTTCCAACTCTGATACCATAGCCTCAATTGCTAGCCACGAGTAGTGTGAAATTGTCTTTCGCCTTCGGGGATACCCGTATCCTAGCGTGCCATGTTTCTCTGGGTATTGATCCACCTTGAGGCCAACATTTGTCCTTGCGCCCCCTTTCATATTCTAGGCTTATCCCCTTTTTCCGAGTATGTGTTGGGTTTATCCAAGCTTCACCGTTATGTTCAGGGTTTCGACAAGCAACTCGATGGTAGCCTTTTTCCAAGTTCCTTTATAGCAATGGCGTAGTCAGTAATAGCGAAACAAATCTTTAATAAAGAGTGGCACGGATTACTTAACTTTTATTTGCAAAGCATGAGAAAGGAGAGAGCCAAGGGTGAGAACATGCCCCTGGAAGACATTGATTAGATCTTACCCCACGCGCACGCTTCAGCCCTCTTGCAATTTGAAGCCGAAAATCTGATAAGATGTTATCTGTACACGATCAATTACGAGTTGATGCCCAGCTAGGGTTTCTCTGAGGCTGTCGATGTACCCGCGAAGAAGTGACGGTTGACTTTCGTCGAGAGTGTGGCTCAAGTGAGCGCCACAAACGAGACACGCAAAGAAACCTTGGGGGGAGGTATCTAGTATAAACATAAAGGTATGAGGAATGAGAATATAATATTCGTACATTGAAACGTAAAACCTAAAAGCCCAACATCGCAAGAGCGAGGATGACTTGTCTAGGTCGCTTCGTAGATACGGATATGGCAAATCTCAGCTGAAGAAGATTTGACCCCACGTCTCTGGCAACATTGGACATGTGGCTAGGTAGAGGCTGGCTACGCGAGGGCCTCAGGCACAAACGGAACACTCAAGGTGTTGGCCTGGGGCATCCAGGTCTTGACGTGGTCTTTCGCCAGCGTCTTAGGTACTAGGCAGCCGCTGTACCGCCTCTCCATACTGGAACCTAGGTACTTCAAGCATGTACGTAGGTCTATGAAGGCAGGAACACGCAAAATGCAAAAAAAAGAATAGAAAGGGAAGGATTCGAACCCCCATCTCTGCCAGACAGGACATGCCCAGGAGCCCCAGATCCACGTCCATTCCGGGCGTTGACCTGGGGTTCTTGCAACCTAACAGCGTCATTACCATTAGACCACCTCTCCGAGTTGTTTTGCCTTCCCATATTCTAGTATATGAGGTGTATTGGCTCTACACACACAGCTACTGCCCGCCAAGGTCAAAATGTTTAGTCTAGGTGCTATATCAAATCTTTTTACGACCAGTAAGTTTCTTACTCCTAGGTTAGAGTATAACCTCCCGAGGTATGTAATATACGAAGACATCCTACTACTAGTAGGGCTCCCGAACACGCCTGGTTTAACTTGACCCTATTCTAATGAAGTTGAGATGTTATATTTAATAACAATAATCCTTTTAGGGACTTATGTAAAGGGGAGAGATATCCCTAGTTACTAAGAAGTAACCACTCTACATTTTATAGCTTTCACTAGATTCTACATCTTAAATATATATTAACACTAATAATACTAAGATAGGCTAATCCACCTAATAGGTTTCTACCTTATATTTATTAATATATACTATAAGTATAATATCTACTAATAGCTAGTTTATTTCTCACCCTAAATAGAGCGCCTGTGTAGTATAAATAAGTTATAGTATAAACATTTACTAACTTAACTATCTCTTCCACACCGAAGAGGATATGAAGAAGCAGACCTAGACTATTTTGTTCCCGATCTGTTTGGCTCCGACCCTGAACCAGTCCGATGAAGTTTACATGTACGGGATTGCTCTTATAAATCTTGATAATGAAGTCTATACACGTCGTGGAATGTGGCAAAATCTGATGCCGTCTGAACAGGAAGCAAAGGGAGTTCTCCAGGTCTTGCCAGAGTCTGAGATTACGATTATACAAGAGGGAAGATTGTAATTAGAGTCTGCATTCCTAGACTATTAGGCTAAGTCTATTATTTTAATTCATCCATCATGCTTAGTACTGAAGATCTTGATAGAATGATGGCGTGTAGATTGATAACTGCTTTGGCTGGTGAGAAAGGAGGATTACGGTTCATCAGACTACGCGGCGAGTCATGGCGTCCGTTTTCTTACTATGTTTGGTTGACCAGCATCTTTTGTAGCGCTAATTCAAAGTTTTATTTTATCTGAAAGTATATTTATAGTCATAAGAAGTTTATAAAGTGGCATGTGGCAAAGAAAGGGTAGTACCTCGTTAAACAGAAAAAGGGTCAGGCGCAGGGTAGCCAGTGACCAGCATTGACGACTTCTTCATGTACAAGTATAATAAAAATGAATCTAAGGTGCACAGGACTCAGACCAGCCTAGATAGACGACCATAGACATGCAACTAAACGGCCAGTCGAAGCCCTCCTAGATTCCTCACCTGTGGTGACGGATGGTGATGGTCCGCAATGGGCTGCCGGCTCAACGGCAACCTGCTGGACCCTGCAAGCCCGGCAAGTGGGTGACATTGAAATTGAGACACTTAAACATTAAGCTGCTTATTTTCGAGTCTGCGACTGGTATTGTCAGACTATTGAGTGCTAATAATATATATTTCAGAGATAATATAGTGTATATTATCACTTTATTTCATTTTATACTACTGAATTTCTCTATTCATCATAGAAAGTAGTCTGTTTATAACCACTCTTCCATTAGGTGTCTCATTTCTCCTGTCACCCACTTGCCCGGCAAAGGAGCGCCAGAAAACAGGCCACAGTCCAGGGGCAACCCCGCTGGGCCCTCGGATAACTTGGGCAAGCTCCAGTGGGTACAGTTCCCTTAGCCCGCCGAGCCGTCCAGTATAAATGGGCGAACTAACCTCCAGCCAGCAGATCAAAGGCGTTCGGGCAGAAAGCGTATTGGTGGTTGCCTTGCCGTGTCACCACAGCATCAGCACATAGCGATGGAGCCTGCAGTGCCAATGGCTCCCTCCCAAGGACACCATCTCTCAGGCGTCCAGCTCAGGCATCCAGCAGCCCGTGAAACGTGAGGTGGCCTGTCAGCCTCACTACCTACGACCGACGAAGCTCTTGCGTACCGACTTGCGTGTCGATTGCCCCTCCTCCACCTCGACCAAACTTCTTCAACACATCATCCGGCATCGTGTTTCCATCCAATCCGACCGACTGCGTGGTGTTATCCGCTTGCTGCATGCCCCGAACACGGTGTCGAAGTCCCGTCTACCGATTATCTCCATGGCTGCAACCCACGTCATCCGCCCCGAGATCGAGGACGACTGGCAGGACCTGGACAGCAACCTGTCAGTCCGATCGCTGCCCGCCTCCGACGACGAGTTCAGTGAAGATGAAGCGAGCGTCGTGAAAGTCGGCTCCCGAGCACCCCCGCCCACAGCAGCAGATACACCAACCGCATCGTCACTTCATCCAGATGCAGTCGTCCCCGCAAAGTCGAATGCGACCGTTGCTGCTACCCACAGCGCTAACGACACCTCCGTAATCGACCTGCCGCTTCGACCCGCCACCCTCGGCCTAGGCACTTCCCCATTGCCAACGAGCCAATACCCGCTCTCTCTGTCTCAAGACAGTGATGTTTTTGGGACAAGAGAGGAACCAGCAGGCCCCGACGGCCAAGGAGATGCCCGATCCGAAACCTCCGACGGCACGGTTCGAGATCCATCCGAAAACCCTGTCGAGCATCACGCGGTCCTCGAATCCCTGGCCCTGCTCGTCAAAGAGCTAAGGGAGGAGTTGCAGCAGACCATCGCCGACCTTCCCTCGTTCAACGTCCCGATAGTGTGTAAAATCCAGGACGCATTGCACGTCCTCTCCGATCACTTCAACGACTTGGAACCCATCCTCGCCGCGTACTCCAAACACTGGACGAGGCATGGCCAGGCCCTGGCTGCAGATCAGATTCCTTTGCACACCGGGCTGATGAGTTGGATGGATACCCTCGAGCCTTGCATGATTGATCTTCAAAGCGAGGTGCGAGCGCAGGCCGAGCTTGCTCATGCCAGTTCAGAGAATAATACTACCACACCAGCTGTCGCCGCCGCATTCGTTGACTACCTAGTTGAACTTGAGGACCTCTCTGAAACCTTGACTGAATTTCTCCCCATTATGAAACTGTATGTGCTGTCCTGTCATTTTCGTAAATCACCCCAACTATTTTCTAATGCATGTGCCAGTGATTTCTCCGAGTTCCAGACCAAGTTCATGATCTTCCCCGAGTGCGATTCTGAGTCGACTGATGCCGAGAGTCATCGTCAGGGTCCTCGCCCGGAGATAATTAACATCCGCCGAGAACTCTACGCTCTCAAGGACCAGCTCCAGGCCACGTCTACCCTCGTCAATCCCATCTTTGACGGCAACCTCGACTGCTTCAAGAGCAAAAATGGAAATGACGCTCTCAGGGCCATGGAGATCCTCGATACTCTGAGCGCCGTCATCTCGACCAGCCTGACCAACACCGGCTCGGACTGGATCGAATCATCCATGAGTCCCAATGCGCAGGATGCTCAGATTTCCTACCCAGCGTTCGCCTCCCTCAGCCCGGACGTACTCCATGATGTTGCTAGCCACTTGGTCCAGTTCCGGGAGGAGCTCGACTATGACGATGATCCCGAGATTGAGCGCGAGTTCGGCAAGGACGCGATCCTCAAGCATCAGATTTTTAAGCTTGCCGAGGATGGAGTGCTGACGACATTGCTTGCCACGCTGGACTTTCTCCAGTGTCTGCTGATGGGAGAATCATTGGATTGAGTGGCAGTAGCGGGACCAGCAACGTTTCATGCTAGTTTTGGGGAGAGTTTATTCTATCCGATGTGCGGTCTGAAGAGAGGCAAGGAGTGAGAATGCAGGAGGTCGGACTTCACGTTTCTAGTCATCAAGCGAACACAGCATCAAGTTTGATAACAATTTGTTCTATTATTTGGATTTGACAGAACTACACAGAAAGTCAATGATTGAACAAGGCAAAAACGCTCTCTTTACGATTCATTCTGGCTACTCTCAAGACTTTGCTAACTACAGCAGCATTTGGGCCCCATACTTCACCCAAAACTCACATTTCTCCTTAAGCTCAGAAGGAATCTCCTCCATCTCGGTCGTCCCCCTCGTCCCGAACACGATCCGCCGGGGCGATCCCGTCTCCCAGTTGCGCCACTCTGCTGTCCCGGGATAGCGATGCTTGTTCGGGTCCAGCGACCGGATGAAGCTCGTCCAATAGCCCTGCATGATGGGCGAGGCCATCTCGTTGATGCCCCCGGGCTTGTAGCTCTCGGGCGCGCCTTCTTTGCCATACTTGGTCCCCAGCAGAGCATCCGTCTCGACGGTATGCGGGACACCCAGTCCCTCTCTCATGAGGGCCGGGTCCTCTACATTCCAGAGATACGAGTACGATGCGGACGAGCCCAGCGCCCTGAGCTGCGATGACATGAACAGCGCCGGGCACATGAACCTGATGTCGCCGTACACGTCGCTCAGCTGCCTCCAGTAGCATCCCGCCTTCGGGCATGTTTTGTTGGCGTTCGGGTAGAGCCTGTTGACCTCGCCAAACATGTCTGGCGTGATGGTCGGGTACTGGTTCGCCACCCAGAGGTTGCTGTCGATCAGGCTCGCCGTGGTCCTCTCGGTGAAGTCGGTGCCGCCGTTCTTGTCGTCCCCGATGATGGTGGGCACCTTGATCACCCTGCCCTCCGCAAACGCGCGGTAGGGGTAGTCGGGGATGAACTCGTTGTCGAGCACGGGCAGCCACTGGTACAGGGGCGGCTTGGCACCCCGGGGCAGGGGCAGGTTGAACGTGTTGACCTTCTGGATCTCCACGGCCGTCTTGTTCCGCAGGCAGGCCAGGCTGTCCCTGACGGTGCACCCGAGGCGGGTGGCGAGGTTGTTGTACTGGTACTGGGACTCCTCGACGGTGAGGATGGTGGCGTACGAGGCGGAGGCGAGGGTCGCGCCGTGGAAGAGGCCGCGGTCGGTGCCGTTGTCCGCCATCATGTGCATGCTCACACTGGCGGCGCCGGCGCTGCTCCCGACCACGACGACGTGGTCTTTGTTGCCGCCGAACTTTTGGATGTGCTGCTGGACCCACTCGAGGACCTTGCGCTGGTCCCGGAGCCCGTTGTTGGCCTTGATGCTGTCCCCGTTGGTGAGGAAACCCCAGAGGCCGACCCGGTAGTTGAAGTTGACGACCACCATGTCGTACTGGGCCGCGGCGATCAGGCCGGAGCTGTTGAAGTGCGGTCTGGTGTTGGCGTTGAAGGCCCCGCCCTGGATCCAGACCATCACGGGAAGCTTCGAGGTTTCCGTGGCGTTGGAAGGGGCCATGACGTCGAGGTAGAGGCAGTCTTCGGATGTTGCGTTGTAGTTAGGGTCCTGGCCGGTGCGGAGGCATACAGGGCCGTACTAACAGCATCGCTCTCGTTAGTCGCAGAGGCTCTGTTTAGGGTGGGAGTGGGTGCACTTACGTGGTATGCATCTTGTACGCCTTGGACGACTGGAGGGTCCTGGGGAGGACGGAATCTCAAGTCTCCGATCGGGGGAGCTGCGTACTGGATTCCGAGCCATTGGGTGAGCCCATTTTTAAGCTCTTGCCCGCGGTACTTTCTGTATGAAAGATCGACGGTCCGCGGGACGGCTGTGGCCGAAGTGACGAGGAGACAGACGGCGAGGAAGCGGCCGAGCATGGGAATCATATTTACGAGAACTGGCATGGATGGATATGAGCGTGTGCAGATCCTCCACTGGTCTTGAAATGGGGGAGGACAAAGCAAGAAAGTGCGCACACGACATATAAGTACATCCCATGCTTGTTTCTTATCCCGTTCGCCACAGCCGGAGCGGAGTTTCACACCACCTCATTACCAAACCTTGCATGCATGCACTGCACGGCCTCGTTGTCCCAAGCCATCTTCTAGGCTTGCATTCCAGGTAGATGGTCCGTAAGTTTGGCCTTGGGGCATCTGCTTACATGCGAGACGGACCAGGCACGGCGGTGTTTAAGTTTAAAAGGAAAATCCGACCCCTCAGCTCATACGAAATGCTACGTCCTTCATTTTTCCAACATCCAACGGTGTTTCCACCTCAACACCGCTCTTTGTCCGTTTAAATGTCTATCCTTTAGTCCGACTTGCTCCAGCCTATTTTAAGATACGTGCGGGTGTCTTGTATATCAGACGCGGGAGGGATCCCCATTCAACAGTAATCTCAGATAGTCAGGTATATGATGAATCAATCTCATTACCTCATCATACGGGGCTCAGAGTAACCCTTACATCTGAGAAACAGTACTAAAAAGAACAAAGAGGGGGAAATAACGGCTCAATACATCCATGACTATGGCAATCCATTCACAAGAGGGGTATCCTACAGCTGAGACATACTTAAGCGCAGGGTCGATCAATTCGTATGCTGTTTCGCGAGACATTGAGGCGAGGAAGATCATTTCCCGATATTTCTATTAGACATTAGGGAGGGAGGAACCGTGGCTGGGAACGGGCGGCTTTGACTTCAGGGTCCGTCCCGATCTGCCTTCACTCTCAGCGTCATCCTCCCTCTCACTCACTCTCATATCACTCTCATCTCATCTCATCTCACTTTCACAACTAATTTCACTCGCCGTGACGCCTCCCAAAACCCAAATTCAAGATTTCCCTCCTGACCAACGCGTAAAGTAGAGACCAGCATATCTAGCATATATTTTCCATGTCACCAATCTTGTAGAGAACACAATTATCGTTGTGCAACACTCAATCCTGCCCAGTGACCCGGTAGTGGGGCTCGAAATATCGGCCTCCGATGGCGCAATTGACCTCCAGCTCTTATCAACCGCCTCCCAAATGGTCACCACCATCCATCCAGACTCAGACCCAGTCCTTCCACTTCCCCAGAGGCACCAGAAACAGAGCATCTACAACCCCGGGCTCTATGGCCTGACCCCGCCCAACGGCTAGCATTCCATCTCTACCCAGCAGAGAGGGAGGCCGGCAGGCAGAAACGGCATCATGACCGTTCAGAAACACGGCGCAAGGGACGGTCAACACTACGATGGCATCATCCCCACTGAGCATGATCCCCTCCTCCCACGCCCGCCTCAGCCTCCAGCCGGCGACTCGGACCCCCGTGCGCCCGCTCAGGATGACCCCTTTGCCAGCGGCGACGTCGTCACCGCCGAGGAGCACCGCAGCTTCCAGCGCGGCCTCGAGCAGCGCCATCTCTCCATGATTGGCATCGCCGGCGCCATCGGCACGGGTCTCTTCCTCGGCCTCGGCGGCGCTGTCCAGACCGGCGGCCCCCTGGGCGCCCTCCTCGGCTACGGCGTCATCGGCCTCGTCGTCTGCGCCGTCCAGTTCGCCCTGGGCGAGGTCGCCGCCCTGCTCCCCGTCACCGGCTCCTTCGTCCGCCACGCCGAGTTCCTCGTCGATCCCGCCTGGGGCGTCGCCCTCGGCTACAACCTCGTCTACGGCAACATCCTCTCCATCCCCTCCGAGATCACCGCCGTCTGCGTGCTCTTCCGCTTCTGGTGGCCCGACGCCAACCCGACCCCCATCATCCTCGTCTTCGTCCTCCTCACCCTCGCCGTCGGCCTCGCCCGCATCCGCGTCTTCGGCGAGGTCGAGTACCTCTTCGCCTGGCTCAAGGTCCTCCTCATCGTCTTCCTCATCGTCCTCGGCCTCTTCATCGCCCTCGGCGCCATCCCGGGAACCCCCGCCCTCGGCTTCCGCTACTGGCGCGACCCGGGCCCCTTCGTCGAGCACATGGCCCCCGGCGCCCTGGGCCACTTCCTCGGCTTCTGGCAGGCCCTCGCCGGCGCCGTCTTCTCCTTCGCGGGCGTCGAGTCCATCGCCATGGCCGCCGCCGAGACCCAGGACCCCCGCTCCGCCATCCCCGCCGCCTGCAAGCGCGTCTTCCTCCGCATCTTCCTCTTCTACATGCTCGCCATCCTCGTCGTCGGCATGCTCGTCGCCAGCAACGACCCCCGCCTCGACGGCGCCGCGGGCGACGCCGCCCAGAGCCCCTTTGTAATCGCCGCCTCCGCCGCCGGCATCCCCCTCATCCCCTCCGTCGTCAACGCCGTCGTCGTCACCTCGGCCTGGTCCGCCTCCAACCAGAGCCTCCTCTCCGGCTCCCGCGTCCTCTACGGCCTCGCCCTCAAGGGCCAGGCGCCCCGCGTCTTCCTCCGCACCACCAGCTGGGGGTCCCCCTACGCCTGCGTCCTCCTCTTCGGCGCCTTCATGCTCCTCAGCTTCCTCAGCCTCTCCAGCGGCGCCCTCACCGTCTTCTGGTGGTTCGTCGACCTCACCGCCGCCGGCGTCCTCGTCTCCTGGTCCGCCATCCTGTACAACCACATCCGCCTGCGGAGCGCCATGCGCGTCCAGGGGATCCCGGAGTCCCGGCTCCCCTGGCACAACAAGCACACAGGTAACTTCGGACTCAACAGTTTCCCTAAAAACTGAAAAGGAAGGAAAACGCAGCTGAAGCTAACAACATGTCTCGCCCAGTGTACACCTCACGCGCAGCTCTGTGCATGTGCGTCCTCATCCTGCTCACCAGCGGCTTCTCGACATTCATCAAAGGACACTGGGACACGAGCGTCTTCGTCTCATCGTACCTGTATGTACACACCCGGCCCGCCTACTGTCTTTGGGCAGATCGAAACCGTGACTCAGTTTCATTATGCTGACGTTTTTGTCTCTCCAGGGATATTCCGTTGGTTTTGTCCGTCTTCCTGATATGGAAGTTCTGGAAAAACACTAAACCAATACCGCTTCATAAAATTCCCCTGCATGAAGTCTTAGACCACATCGACGAGAGCGGCGAGTAGCAAGCTAAAGAAAAGCACGGGCAGTAACGAAACTGCAATTTACCTGAGACTAGGGATAGATATAAACCCGATATAGAGAGAGCATAGATCACATTAGACAGAGATTTGGGTCAGAATAGAAAAACAGAACAGCTAGAGTTTTATCCTTCTTGGATTGACTAGTTGCGTATACCGACAAAGCTATGCTACTGTAGTCTATATGCCTCGACGAAAAGAACGGACGTATTGTCCAGGCCCAGGCGAGAGCCTTCAAGGCCTCCTTGGCTACTCCAACTGTCCAGACCCCAGGGGTAAATAAATGTTGTTATGACTATAAATTATCGAAAGATCATTTCCCAGCGCCACGCAATGCTAAGCTAGCCAGACAGGTTACAATAACCAAATATGCCGTCCCGACTTATTCTCCGATCCACGCGAATGCCCAATATCAATCCTCGTGTTCGTTGGTATACAGACAAAGAAAAACAAGGGTGTATGGTACAGCTCCAAGTGTGGTGAATAGGTATGCTAAAAGGAAAAAGAAGAAAAGGCTTGAAATTGCTCAACGTTTTTGTTCTTGCAGATAAGATAGGGATACTCTCCAGGGTCACAGGATGGATATATAGTGGTAGACTCCAGTAGAATCCCTGCCCAGAGAGTATGTATAATTGGACTAGGGGACAACACCATGACGCCATTGGTCGACTCGGTTCATTGACGACGATGTGTTCATTGGGAGTTGCGTTTGCATAGGTAGTTGATGCATGCTGTTATGGGCATATGGATTCATAGTCATCCGGTTGAGATTGCCCATACTGTTCATTCCGTTCATGCCACCGTATGGGTTGTTATGTACGTATCCAGGCTGCTGTCCAGGCATTCCGTAGGAGCTGAGTCCCATGACAGATCTGTGTTGGGTGTTGCCAGCGTATGTCTGCCCAAGGAGGGCAGGAGTGGACATAGCACCCTGAAGGCCAAGTCCAGTGTTGCCACCGCCATGTCCGTCATTATAAACGCCGCCACGGTAACCGCCGATAGTGGGTGCTGCCATGGATGTGGGCATCTGCTGTCGCATTGCCGCAAGCTTGGCCTCACGTTCGCGGGCAACGATGGCTTCCTGGTCCATCTTGATCTTCTCGAGCCTGGCCGGGTTCTCTTCCTTCTTGGGATGTGCAGACAACATATCAGCCATGCTTAACCGGCGATTGACGGTGAGCTCGGGCGGGCCAACCAGCGCATTGTGACTCATTTCGATTTCGCGCGCTCTGCGTTCGGCTTGAAGACGACGTCTGCGCTCACCCAGAGTCTCTTCCTCCGGGTTTGCCGCAGGCTCACCATTCTCCTTGGTCCTACCATCGGCCGTGCTGGGTTTCGTTGCCTCCTCCAGATCACCAAACTGGCTCAGGAGCTCTGCTGAAAAGGCACTGCTGACGGGTCGGGCCTTGGGGAGCTCCTTGGCGTCCAGGCGACGCTTCCTCTCTCCCAAAGTCTCGCCTTCAATCTCCTCCTCTGTAGGTTCATGCTCGGACACGCTACCCGGTGTCTGGGGCTGCACCCGCAGATAAGGACTGGTCAGGTGGGCGGTTAGGGTTGCGACACTCTGGCGCTTGGGGAGTGCCATGGGAATCGCATCGTTCCCTTGCAAACGTGCCCGTCTTCGGCTAAGAGGCTCATTATCTTCAATATCACGGCGTTCCAATAATCCGATGGGACGTTCGAGGTCAGCCATATTTTTAGCACCTTGATGTTTCGCAGCAATGATGGCGAGAGGGACGTCATCGTCGTCGGAGCCATTTTCGTCGTTGTGAGCACCTGGATCCTCCCAGGCAAGATTGACACGCTTCTTGTTTCGGTTCTTACGCTCGACCTCGGCCACGGCATCCATCTCGAGCAAGGTGGCATGCATGCCATCCTGGAACTTTTGGCTGATGGGCTGGGTTCGCTGTTTCTGTTGCTGTTTGCGTAGCTGAAGTTCGGCGAGCAGCGTTGTTGGAGGTCCAGCAGGCTGTTCATCCTCGCTCTCTTCCTCCTCACCCTCCAGGTCCTCGTCCTCGGGGTGGTCTTCCCCGTGACTGCTTGCAAGTCCTGCCGTCTCAGGAGCGTCAGTGTCACTATTCACTTCGCCCATCGAGGACTTGCTGTCGATCTTTGATTCGCTATGGTTGCGCTTGAACCAAAGGAAGGAAGCCCTCTTCTTGGGCTCCTTCTGTGGAGATGGGGGTGCCAGAGAATTCGGTGTGGCCTTGGGCTTCGTCTTCTTCTCCTTGCCATACACCTCTGACCCAAGAGGGCCCGCGAATGCATGGTTAGTAAAGGCATTGACGGGAGCGTTCATCGAGGCGTCAAGCATGCTATCAAGAGTGGCCATGGCCGAGCCGTCCTTGACCTCCATCTTGGGTGATGTGGACGGTAAATCAAAGAAGGCGCTCGCTCGCAGTTGGGGCGGAAGCTTATCGAGTCGAGACTTCCGGTTCTCTGCTTTATTTCGCCCAATCTTCTGCGGTCGACGCAGGTGTTGCGAGTCCGGCTCTGCGGGCATCGGTTCCTCCTCTGGCTCAATTTCCTTGGCATCGATCAAGCCTGCACTCGTCGTAAGAGCGATGAAAGATTCCCTGTTACCAGCAAGAGGATCTGGTAACCAGGAGTCTCTTACAGGAGGCTCCTGGCGGCCCGCTGCTTCTGGATCATCAGAGTCCTCATAGTTAAAATTAGGGTCCAGCATGGCACTCAGGACCTGTGATCGTCGATTGTCTCGATCAGTCGTTTTGGGCTTGTTGGACAGCTTCGGTGGAAGCTTAAGCATCGCGGGAACCCGTGCTGGGTAGAATAACATCTGTTGGCCCGATTCAGGATCAAGATAGGATTGCGGCCGAGCCCGTTCAGGACGACGCTGACGAGGTACCGGCTCCATCTCTTCCTGGCCCAAGGGGATTTCCTCCATGATCGTCTGGTCCTCCAGATGGTGGCCACGGTCAAACGTGCCATCCTCTTCGCAGTGCACACCATCAAAGTCGGCAAAGGCGTCCCCGACTTGCTGGAAGGTGCTGTACGAGTGCGCGCTGCCTGGTCGCTCCGGCTCATCAGCAGGCCGGTGTTTCTGGTCTTCTGGGTGTGTAAGGCCCAGATCCAAGTTGGGCTCGCTCATCTCCAGCTCCAGCGCCGATTCCAGGATACGGCTGGCACGGTTATTAGGTGCTTCGTTGGTCTCGGAGGGCCTGATTGTGTCGAGGGTTTCGGCTTCGATCGGGGGGGCAGCATCGGCGGCATCGAGGGCATCCTTGGTTAATGATATAGGTTCGGATTCGGAGATCTCAGCCAGAGACATCTTGGCAGAGCGAACACTTCGGACGGAGGTCTTGCCCGGTCCGTGACGGGAGAGAGGAGGCTCGACATCGATCTCTGGTCGGCCAGCCGAGTTCTTGGACCCGGATCGAAGCCGGCCAGTCAGGGAGTGGCTAGGAGACATGACGAATCCTGCAGGAGAATAGCCACCTTGCCGTGCGGCTATGTTCGTAGTGAGAATAGATGATGCGCTGGAGAGATGGCGGTGCAAGGGAGGGACGGGTGGCACATTGGCAAAATGGTCGTCGTTGGATGTCCTGATACTGGCAGCGCGCACGGACGATCGACGGCTGTCACTTCGCTTTAATTCGCCATGCAGCTCGCGGATCGCATCGCCAATCGAGCTGGTGCCGGTGGAGAGTCTCTCTGCAGTGGCCTCGAGTCGTGCGATGTTGCCAATGGGGGCACCGGAGCGGATAGACGGATCCGGTAAGGGAGTAGTAGGACTGAGGGAGAGGGGGCTGGAAGCCGAGACAGGCACGGCGATAGGCTTTGGATGTGCTATCTTGGTGTTGGGAAGAATGCTGCTCACGCAGAGGGGAGGAGATTCAGACAAGGCGGAGGGGACACTGCTGTTTGTTGGCGTCGGATTACCGTTGTCAGGGGCTGATAGTGCTTCCGTATCTAGGCCCTGGCTCTGTGGCTTGACGACCCTGGCACCGGGTCGCTGGGGCGAGGTGGCGGAAATGAATTCCTCGCGACGGCCTAGAAGGTTTTTAGCCTTCTCGTGTTCGAGGATAGCGGTCTGTAAAGTCAATCCGGAGGGTCCCTGGCGCAGTGCAGGCTTCTGCATCGTGATGCCCGACGTGGGAGACGAGGTTGCCGACAATGTGGCTGTTGTCGGGGGAGTAATGGCCGGGATCTGCCCATCGGTCTTGGGGCTGCTGCTCCTGCTGCTGCTACTGGCACTGGCGATTTTTCCAGAATATGCTTGCTCGGCTGCCGCCATTGTTTGGGGTGGTTATTTTGGGCAGCAAGCCACCCTTCGGCTCGCTGAAGACTGTTGCTAATTGGCAGTGAATACCCACACTGGATTTTGGAATTTTTGGGCCGTCCGCCCGCTGCTGTCTCGTCGTATCCCTCCTTTCAATCGCCCGCGGATGGCCAAGTACAGGGGCGCTGATGGGTGATGCTGAATTGCTCGGGGTGGCTGTGAACCTCGTATTTGGGGTCTCCTGGAGTGCTAATACACTGTAGTCAGGCTCGTATCAGTCGCCTATGCCTTAATAACACGGATGGGGCAACGACTGTGGGTGTGGCTGGTGAGCTGGCAATGGCCGAGACATTGAAGAAATCCTGGTCGCGGCGCAAGTCGAAATTTTGTTGCCGAGGGAGGTAGTTTTATGTTTCTCCTGTCATACCTCAGGGCGACGCCGCTAGACCAAGCCAGATGGTCGTTCTGGTTCGAGTGCGAGTCAAGGCTGGAAGACCGGTGCGAAGCGCGGCGTTTGTGCGATAGGGCCACGTGAGACCGTCTGGAGAAAGAATAGCTCGGAAAGGCGTTCCCTTTTGATGGCTTGCGACAGTGAAGATCCCGCGGGCTGATTGGAGGGGTAGCCTGGCTGTCTTATCTTGATGCGCCTCGTGCGATTCAATGTTGGCGGTTGCTTTTTTTTGTTGTCAGTACAGGTAATGTAGGTCATCCTTTTGCACCTGCCTCAGGTCCCCATGAACAGGAAATGGAACGGAGTGTATCCTAACGGAGTGTGTCCCATGTACACAAACTGTACAGAGAAAATATATGTAGCAAGGGTAGGATGGGGCAGTATTACCTGAGTAATGTATACTCCTGACGGAAGGTACCGTTTAGTGGCAAGAGCAGCGCATACAGCGCCTTGTCGCAAAAAAACAGGGAGGCTCCAATTGGGCGCGATAGCGATTGCTGGCTGGCTGCTCGAGCAACAAAGGATGGACACGCAGCAGAGACAAAGAAAAGCACACCGCAAGTGAAGAAATCGAAAGATGGGAAGAGAGAGAAGGAGAGGGCCAACGAGAAGCGAGAGGGAAGGAAAAAAGGTCTCGAATCGGGACGATGCCGCTGCTGGGCTGGACCCGGTCGTGTTGCTGCAGCCCGGAGCTGTTAGCAATCCAGCATTGACAGTGTTTTATTTAATAGTATCTGGGCCGTCCTGGCGAGCTGATGGTAGGAAGCACGGTACCTTACCTACGAGCGACGCAAGGTTACCCCGGCGCAGTCCCAACGTCGTGCGTGGAACGAGATCGCAAGCACAGATGTCTGTCTCGACGTCCGGCACTGGCTCGCGTATCGTGGGACAGCACGGCGCAATGTCGTACGACTTGGTTGGTAGGCAGGCTTACTTGCTGGCCTGGAACAGACCTGGAGCAGAACAGAGACACGAAGTGGAAGGGAGGCGGGAGGAAGCTGGCAACTCTGGACGTCGCTGTGGCACCCTATGCTACCTATATTTCTGCTCCATCGAGGTGGTTTCAAGCTCTTACAGCCGCTAAAAGGTAATACCTGTCTACCTGACCTTATCCACCCGCCCAGGCTAACAAAGCTAGCGCTCTCCGGGACGTCGTGGTGGTGGGAGGGAAGAGGAAGGGTGCTGACGGGAGCAAGTTTGAGCGCCCGTCGCCGAGACCAGTCTGCGATAGTGACTGCTTGGCTGCTTGACCGACAACTCTGTGCATCCAGTTGGTGTTCTGGGGTTTGCTGTTCTTCTGGCGAGCGTGTTTGCTTCTGATACCCAACTGCTACTCATCTCAAATACGAGACTGCCCTAACCCAGCCCCGTACATACGAAGTACTCTTGGTTTCCCCATAACACCGCTCCACCTCAAATCCGCGACCTGCGACTGGCTGGCCTGAGCTGCTTGTTGCTTTTGCCTGTGCTCTGCGTGTGTTGCTTTTTGCGCTGCTTGCTTCGCTTGAGCCTGCTCAGTCGCGCACTTCTCAGCCCGTAGCTGCATCTATGACGGCAATGACACGCTGCCCCGCTGCTCTGCACGCACATACCGCGCTGCTTGTTTCCCCTTCTGCCGTCCCTTTTGTCTCCGTCCTTGCCTTATCCACTACCATATACAGCGATCGATGTCGTAATGTTGCTACGTGTGCCGCTCTGCTCCGTCGCAAACCCCAAGCCAGATCAGTTACAGTCTTCGGATAAAATCCTTTTCTTAGGGAGGATGTGGAAGAGCCCCGTGCCGTCACCGCGTTGCATCAAAACCTGATGCCTGTCGCCGTTTCGCTGTCATGATCCCTGCCCCGAGTCCTGTGAACTGTGGGCTGTGGGTGTGCGCTCCATCCCTCTCCTCCATCCCTATCGCATCCCATCGCCACCCCCCGTTCCTCCCAGGTCCAGACACGGCCTCGAACAAGCAGAGCATGCGACCTCCAGCGCCCATCATCGACTGACCTGGCTTGACCGTCTATTCGGCTCGCCTGGCCACGGGACCCGAGCGTGGAGTCGCACACACGCTTGACACCACACTACGGTCTGCTCCGGCGACTTCGCTCCGCTAACTGAACTCTTGACGTCTAGTGCTTGGGCCGACTGCCGCAGGGAATGTCACGGCGCCATGTGTGAGCCTTCGGGACGCCGCGAATGGCCAAACGTCTATCCCCAGAGCCAATGAGCTGTCTCCCTCAGCCCTGTTGCCCAGCAGCTCTACCAACCCGTAGGGGGCTGTCATCCACGTCTCTTCTTAGTTGGAGCCTTAGTGGGAAGCGGAGGCCCCGTTATGGGGCACGCGATCAAACGCCAGTCCCCTCATCCGTCCTGGTCTTGGGCCATTCGCTTCCGCGGGACAATGAGTGGGAGAGGGAGAGAGCCAAGCAAGCTTATTCTTCCCTCCATTGTGGTTGGATCACGATTGCCAAGATACCCAAACCAACGCCAGAGCAGGGGCGCCGTAAGTAGGCTCCTCACCACTGCCATGATACCATCCCTACACGCTGGATGAGTGGCTGCAACAGCACAGCGCGCCGCTCGTGTCACTTTTGGGTTTGCTCGTGCATTTGCATCATCTCCTTATCATCCCTTCTTTGTTCCCCCTGCATATCAGATCTCGCTGTCGTATTGTGGCGCTGGGTCACGTCCCGTCCTGGACCCTCCCCTTTCTTGTCAGACTCGTAACTGGCCACACTCCCACATGTAAGCCACGTCAAACACCGTCTGTCTCCCTTCGCTCTCTCCTCGCCAGTCAGAGCCCTTCGGGATGCCCAGCTGAAAGCCTTGAAATCACGGCTGCCAAAACCATGGTTCAAACTCGCGCTAGGCTGCAAGACAGAGATGAGACATTTCTCATCAACCGTAGATTGGCGAGACTTGAGCGCGTACCCAATTTTTTTGGTGTTTTAGTCCCCTTGCTTTTTATTCCGGTGGTCACGATCCTTGTCCTGCTGGCTTAGTGACAGCAAATGTGTCAAGTAGGCAAGATCCTCGCAGACAATGTCTCAGTCTAGCTGTATCAAATTAAAGACATTGGACAGACTTCAGATGGCAAGCTGCCAGGCTGCACCCTAACATTCAGTACAACAGCCCTGTGAGACCCCCCAACTAGGCATTAGTAATTTCGTCCCTACCAGAGCTTAATGTCGGCGAGGACCAATCTCCCCAAAAAACCATATCCTACCTCCCGCCCCAATAGCCCGTAAGAACCTACTTTTTAAACACATCAGACGAGGCCCAGACAGGATGCGGTCTAGACCGACACGGGCTTCACATGCGCACGATGCTACACATGCATACACGACACGAGCCACGATGTTAGTGGTCTGTCAAACCTGTCTAGCCACATAGATGTCATGGCCCATTCCCTACCCGCGATGATTTTTGGCGGCCCATGGGCGAGACGCCTTCTCCCGAACCTTGTTTTCGACCCTGCTGGGCTCGGCGACTACGTGCATCTGCCCATCTGCCCCAGCCGGAAAACTATGCCGTTGTCATTTGCCCGTAGAGACAATGTTCGGTCTGGCCACTTGGTGGGAATACTCTGTGGCAGTTTCTTAGACATGTCTAGTAATACTTTGTCACTCCATCGAGCCGAGCAGCCGTAGAGATGGCCGTGGTAAAGCCAGCACCTACCAGTCGCACGATGATGGTGGAAGAGTGCTCCCTTTCTGCTATCATGTTGTATGAGAGGATGCTGAGGCATGAAACTGAAGCCACCAATTGAGGTCAACGAAACACTCCTAGTGCACATGCAACAAGGCCACAACATCGTAAGAGTTAATCTATCCTACCTGATACAGCTACTTTATCCGGTTCATTAATTAACTGTATCAGACAATATTGGTGTTATGGTCTACGGTCTCACATCCAGCTGGCGAGATGAAGAGGGGCCAACAGACATCCATGTACCGCAACGCAGACAGTTTACCCTATAGCATTTGAGTGGCACTCACCGTCTTGCGGACGACTAACCTCTTCGATGTATACCTACCTTATCTTCAGTACATTGCGGTAAGAGTACGATGACTTGGCTGAATGCCAGTCAGACGTTCAGCCTTTATCACTCGAACCGCTCATCAAAACGACTTCGCAGGGTATCATCTCCTCGAACTACCTTGAAAGCAGCATGCCTCGATGAGTCAGCAGCTTCAGCGCTTAGGCATTTTCAGCTTTATCATGAACATCTTTGAGGAGAATAGGTTGGATAGAGAGGGACATAAAATCACTCATCACCAGCGGCAACCCTGCCTTCGCTGAGGAAAAGTATCGTCATAGAAAGCGCTAGATCTAGACCAACACACTCCACTGATTAAAAATGCCTTCACCTCCGAATAAGCTCTTGGATCTGATCACCCCGTTTGACAAGTGAGTAACTCACTTCTCGCCAGGGCCACACCAAACCAAGGTCACTTACACGCATGGAACCCAGCGTCCGTCTGGACTTTGAGCAGAACTTCTCCCCCTACTACCGCTTCTACCTCTCCCCAGACGACCCGAGACCCCATGGCTTCATCCACCCAAACACAGTGGCCAG